AGAGCGTTCCGGAACGTTCTACGGATTCATCCTCGTCCTGGCCCCGTCCGACTCTTGCGCGTAGCCGATTCGGCCACGGCAGGTCCGCATCGCGACGATCCTGATGTTGGTCTCCGACGCCGCGCTGATCGTTCAACCTTGAACGGTCGGCAGTTTTCGATCGCCAGGCCGTTCCATGCTGGCCGACTCTGGGCCGCTGGCGGCGTTCCAGCTTCGACGCCCGCGGCCGGGCCGCCGCCGCGTCGACACGACACGAACCTGCCGTGCGCGCAAGAGTGCCCCTCCGCCAAGGTGGCCTTCGTTGAGCAGGGACCGACCGTCCCGGCATTCCTACAGTCCTATGTACCACGACATGTTCTCAGAGCCCAAACATGTTCTAAGAACAAAGCAAGGTTTTCATAGCATAAGCCCGATGTGATAAAACAAGACAGACGCCGCCAGACATGTCCTAAGAGCATTCCGTGGAAACCACAAACAGCTCTGAGAGCACTGCCCGGTAGGGCTATGGGCGAGCCAGGACGCTCCGCCACTGCTTGCCTTCGGTGCGGGGCCCCCCTGGGGGCCCCCCCGCACCGCCGCGCGCGGTGCGACGGCAGGGGCCCGGCGCGCCCGGGCCTGGCGCGCCACGCCCGCCCCCGGGGCCGCCCGCGCCTCGCGCCTCGCGCCCTGCGGCCCTACGCCTCCGCCTCCTCGGCGGGGCGGCCCGCCGCCGCCCCCGGGCGGGCGGCAGCCGGCGGGGCGCCCTCCTCGGGCGCCTCGGCGGGGCTGCCGCCCGGCGCCCGGCGGCGGCGGCCGCCCGGGCGCCGCCGCAGCGGCCGCCAGTGGCCGCTGGGGTCCGAGGCGGGGCCCCGGGGGAGGAGGCAGCCCGCGTTCATGCGGTAGCCGTTGATCAGCCGCCACCGCGCCCCGCAGCGGTCGTGCGCCCGTGGGGGCCCTCGCGCTCTCCCTCTGGTCGGTCCCCCCGCTGCTCCAGGAGCGCGGAGAGGCCCGCCCCCCTATCCCCGACGCAGCGGGCCCCTTGGACCAGGTCTGGAGGCCTACTGGATGGGGTGCGAGTAGGTGGGGTCGGAGGATTGCCCCGCATGGCCGATGTATCGGCGATGCATCGGCGTTGCATCGTGACGTCAGCGATGCATCGGCGACGCAGGCGTGGAGGAAATCTGGCCCCCGTCGCAGATAGATGGGCGAGGTGCCGCGATCCTCCGACCCCATCCTGCTCGGGCCACATCTGCGAAGCTCAGAAGGTCTCTCTCCCTGGCATGTGGGCGATCCCAGACACCCCGAGTTCAAACATGCTGACGTCTCGCTTTTACTTTCGTCGCGCTGCGCATGCGTAGCTGCCCCGATACGCAACACGCAACACGCGGCGAGTTGACACGGAGCTCGACACGTAGACTGAATACGCAATACGCAAGTTCGGCGCGATACATTCGCCAACATGTGGGCCAACACGTTGAGCCAACACGCAACGTGTTAACACAGGCGTTTTGAACACGGCACGTGCTGCGTTTCAAGACGTGCGTATCAGGGCAGCTAAGCCAGATGAAGCAACAACGGCATACGCATAAACTTTTGGAGGCCCGCGCGGATTTCTGGGATCTGGGCTAGGACCGCCTCCCGCCAGGGGCGGCGCCAGAGGCGCCACCAGGGGGCCCCGGATCCAAGAGATCTGCGCGGACCGTCGACAGCTTGTGCTGAAGCCGTGTTCTGCTCTTCGATCATGAATGGGGCCCCAGGACACACAAACAGATGCACACAACTAAACAGATTCCCCATCTCTTCCCATATCTTCTGGGTTTCTGCCTTCCCCCCCACTTCCCATATCTTCCTATATTTTCTGGGGAATCGAGGATTCATTGCGTCGGTGTGTTTCTCTGCCTCCCGAGATCAGCGCCTCTCGCCTCCGCCGCGCTGCGCCTGCCCTCCGCCGGCGCTTCCGCCCGCGGGGGCCAGCCGCCGAGGGCGCTGCCCGGACGGTGCACGTGCCCCCCCCCCTCCCGGGCGCGCGGTTGAAGGGGCCCCAGGACACACAAATAAATACACACAAATAAAAATATTCCCCATATTTTTCCATATTTTCTGGGTTTCTGTCTTCCCCCCCACTTCCCATATTCTCCCATATTTTCCTGGGAGTGGACGATTAATTGTGTCTGTGTGTTTTTTCCCCTCCTGAGCGGTGGCGGCTTCGCGAGGCAGCGTGGCCGGATGGGGCCGAGGCACTGGGCTCCGACGAGGCCAGGGCGAGGATCAAGTCCGGTGAGGGTAAATATAGGGGGCAAACTAGCCTGCCTCGCTTCTGACCGCCCTCGCTTCCCAGAGAGACGCCAAGCGATGCCAAACCACGGCCTGTACTGGTCGGGCCGCTTGACGAGGAGGCGCGTGGTATGACTTGGTTTTGCCTGGAAGCGGAAGCGGGGTAGGTAATTCACGCTCTGAAAATGGGCAGGCGAGTTCCACTTCCACTACTCGCGAAGTGACTGCTCGCAAATGGCCCGGCTCCGCGGCGAGGGATCTACGATCCATTCCATCGCAGGCAAGCGTGCGACTCTTCGGACGTCTGCGAGTAGGCACCTTGCGAGTAGCGGAACGCGCCTCGTGAGTAAGTCGAGATCCGGCGGCTCTGGAGGATGTTTAGGCTTGTGGATGCCACGACAATGGGCACCCTACCAATCCGATCATTGAATAACATATGTGTTTGAAATGTGCAAAACATGTCCTGAACATGTTTCAAGCATGCTCTCTTTACATGTTTAAAACATGCTTGAACTTTTTTTTAGACACCTGGAAATCCTTTGGCAGCATGCGTCCTCTCAATTAATCGACTTCCACAAGTTTAGAGCGCCGAGGCCTTCCTGGAGCCGGAGCGCTCTGGAATGGACTACTCCTCGCCCTGGCCCCGTCCGATGGGCGTCGGCTCCGACGTAGCGGAGCGCCAGCCCGGCACGCCTTCGGGTGCTGCGGTTGCCGGGGCTGCCGTGCACCGTGAGGTCGCAGTGCACGGAGCACTCGCCAGCCAGCAGCTGGACCTGGTGGAGCCTGCCGAGCAAGTCGACGTCCGGAATCTCCTTCGCGGGCGCGTCCCGACCTCCTTCTTCCGCGACGGGCCCCTGCCGTGACGACCCCCCCCCCCGCCCTCGAGGCCGCCCTCCAGCTGCCTGCCCAGGTCTTGGAGCGAGGCGAGGGGGTCGTCGCGGAATGGGTCGGCCAGGCCGCCCCCTGACTCCTGCGTCAGCAGATGGTGCTCTGTCTCGGTTCGCTGCCAGGGCAGCCGTCCGATACGGTGGCTTCCCTCGACGAAGGTCATGCCCGCGTTCGAGGCGTCGACGTCGTCGAACGCGAGCCACAGCGTCAGGGCGCGCGACCTGGTCAGCGGCCAGAAGCCGGCGTCCTGGTGCCACGGCTGCTCGGTGGGGTCGCCGGGCAGCTTGCAGAACAGGTGCGCGCTCCAGCACACGAAAGTGGGGCCCAGGAGGTCCTGGACAATGGCCACCACACGCTCGTGGCACGCGAGCCGGGCCACGAGGTCCTGGTGCAGAGGCCGAGACAGCGTGTGCGCCGACCGAAACCGGGCGTCGTCGGAGGTCGCGCGGTCCACCCTGGAGGCAAGCAGCTCGTCGAACTCGGCGCGGACTTCGCGGAGCTCCCCGGCGCCGAGGACGGGCAGGCCCACGAGGAAGCCCTGCTCGTCGAACCTCCTCAGCTGGTCGAGGCCCAGAGCCCCGGGCCCGGCGCCGTCCCCACGTGCCGCGCACTCGCAGAAGCAGTAGTCCTTGCCGTCCTCCAGCTCGGCGGGGTGGTCCCAGACCGGGTCGCGGTCGGGCTCCGCGCCCAGCGGCCTCCGCGGCCACCCCAGTCGCGACGACAGCGCCTCGGCCTGGAAGGCGGCCGCCTCCCTCCGGGACCCGCAGTGGCCTCGCACCTCCTCGCCTCTGGGGGGCAAGGCGCCATTTTTGCAGGTACTGCGTGCGCGTCGCCCCTGGGGAAGCGACGTGCACACAGCACGTGCATGCCTGGCTCCGAGCCCCCGACCACCGGCGACCAGCAAGCGCACGGCCACGCCGGGCTTTGCCGCCGGCTCCTCTATGGAGGCCTCCCAAATCGGTTCCGAGCGGATGGGGTCGGAGGATCGCGCCGCATCGCAACCGCGTCGCTGATGCATCGGCGATGTCGGCGATGCGTCGGCGCCGTCGTCACGGAGGAAATCTGGCTCCACGTCGAGCGGCCTCGCCGACGCATCGGCGACGCGGCGCAGTCCTCCAACCACATCTGCTCGGTCGAGCCCTGCTTGGGAGGGCCCTGACACTGAGGCGGAACGCTGAGGTGGGACCGGCTCAGGAGGGGAACGCCGACCTGGAATCGGCGATACATCGCCGACAGATCGGTGACAGGCCCCCGATGGCAGAGCCGCACGCTCCCGGGCGGGGGGGTATCAGTAGGCCCTCATCGGCGATGAGTAGGCGGCCTGGGGGGTCGAGGCGTTTTCCCCCCTGAGCCTACCCTCCCACTAATGCTGCACCTCAGCGCAGGCCGAGCCGCAGCCGCAGCGAAGCCGCATCTGCGTCCGAGCTCGAGCCCGATAAGCTGCCTGCTGCTCCCAATGCTCCTCGTCGTCTGGCCTTCGGTCGGGGATCTACTGCCCCGGGTCAATCCAAACCCCGGTCAGCCAGGCTTTGCAGGATCCTGCAGGCTCCTCAAGATCCGGCGCTCTGACTGACCCCCGTCTGCATTGACCCCCGTCTCGTGAGCCCCGATTCGGGCGATGGCTCGGGTCTCCAGCGGCCGTTCGGGAGGCACCCCAGGAATGCTCTCGGCGAGGCGCAGAAGCGGGGCATCCCGAGGCTGTAGAGCCGCGGAGCACCGACGCTTTCCCTCGGGGAGGCTCCTCCCAGAAGCCCCACCGCTCGCCCTGCGGCTGCGCCACCCGAGCTTTTGGCCCGCCGCCCCCGCGCGGCGCTGCGGCGGCGCCGCCCCCTGGCACAGCGGGCCGCCGCTCGCGCTGCCTCGCCCGCCGGCAAGAGGGGCCCTGGGCAGGCGTGACCTCTGGTGCGCGGCTCTCTGGTGCCGCGAGGTGGCCAGATCCAAGCGCGCAAGCCGGTGTTGCCCTACTCGTCGTCTTCGTCGCCCTCCTCCTCCTCCTCCTCCTCTTCCTAGTCCTCTTCCTAGTCCTCTTCCTAATCCTAATCCTAATCCTAGTCCTAGTCCTAGTCCTAGTCCTAGTCCTAGTCCTAGTCCTAGTCCTAGTCCTAGTCCTAGTCCTAGTCCTAGTCCTAGTCCTAGTCCTCCTCCTCCTCCTCCTCCTCCTCCTCCTCCTCCTCCTCCTCCTCCTCCTCCTCCTCCTCCCCCCCCCTGGAGCCTTCCCTGGGCCCCCCGTGGGCCCGCACCAGGGGTCACTCCAGCGAGGGGCCACTCTTGCGCGCAGCCGGGCTGCCTTTGGCCGCGGGGCGCGGCCGCAGGGGCCGGCGGCGCCGCCGCGGCCGCCGGCCGGGCGCCGCGACCGCAGAGGCGCTGCAGCGAGGCGCCGAGCGCCCGCAGCAGCGGGGCCGCGCGCGCGCCCGCGAGGGCGCCGCACGGGGGGGGGCCGTCGCCGCCCATGGGGCCGTGCCCCGGGCGCGGCGGGCGGGCCCGGGCTGTCCTGAGCAGCGCTGGGGGCTCCGTTTCTCCCCGCCTGCGGTCGGCCTTGATCGGAGAGGGCACGCGAGAGGACACGAGACCCGTCCGAAGGCCACACCGCCATTGGAGTGTAAGAAGGCGCGTGTCGCGAGGCACGGGACACAAGGGTACCCTTGAGCTGGCAGGGTCGACCTACCAATCAGGGCCGACTGTATCCGCTCTTCGCTCCCGGCTCGGCCAGGACGCTCCAAAGGCGGCGCCCCGGAGTGTGGGCGGCGCGCAGGCGGCATGTGGTGACACCTCAGAGCGTGTGCGCAGGAACGTACGGACAGCGGAGAGAAAACCAGCAGGTGGGCCACGGGCCGATCCGGGAACTGGGAACGTAAGCAAACTCGGCGCCCAAAACGGAACGAAAACGCCGATCTTGACAGCGGGGGCAAACGCCCCCAACGTTTTTCATATCATCGAAGGGCGGGCCCTCTCTTGCTCGGAGGAGGAGGAGGCGAGCGTAGAAGAAGTCTTCCAGGGAGGAGGAGAAGGAGGAGGAGGAGGAGGAGGAGGAGGGCCCTTGCCCTGAGATCCTGGCGCCTCATTTTTTCTTTATCCAAGACGCGCTCGCCGCGGAGAACCCCAGAATACGCGTTGCAGGTGCTGGCGCCCCAGAGAGCGGGTCGCACGACGCTCTGAGCCTCCTGCGAAGTTGCACCCGTTCCCATTCTGAACACCTGCCGCAGACGTGCCTCCAGTCCAGCCGTCCTCCAAAAGTTCGGCAGAGCTGCGGTTTGTTGCTGGGGTGGTTCCACGGTGCCACGTCGTCAGAGTGAGACACGTCCGAGCCAACGTTCCATGCGGCCGCCCGGCGGACGCAAGAGGGCTGCACGGAGGAGGCGCGGACCGTGCCCTTCTTGGCGTGCCGAGCCGTGAAGTTGTCGACTGGCAGGTCCACGGGCAGCAGCTTGACGAGCGCCCTGGCGGCCTTGGGCCAGATCACGTAGCCGACCGTTGTCCACAGGAAGGAGGAGGAGGAGGAGGAGGAGGAGGAGGAGGAGGAGGAGGAGGAGGAGGAGGAGGAGGAGGAGGAGGAGGAGGCTGCATGAGGACCTCGCCGAGGCGCGTCCGCCTGCCGCTGTCCGTCCTCGTCAGCCACGGCGTCCCGGTGTCCTTCGGCGCCTCCCGCAGCGACGTGCTCAGCGTGGCGGCGAACGCCGGCAGCATGGCGGCGTTGCCCTCGAGGGACAGCAGCAGCTCCCCGCTCGAGGCGCATTTCCGCCACGCCTTCAGGCGCGAGGCGCAGCAGCCGCGCTCCCCGCCTGACATGGCGGCCTCCCTGTCGCGGTACCAACGGAAGAGCTTCGCAAGCCGCAGGGTTCTGTGCGACCTGCAGGCGTCCTTCTCGGCTGGCGGGTGCTCGCGGCCGTTCGCGGCCGCATCCTTCTGCGAAGCCTTCTGCAGGGCCAGCCAGCGATCTGGTCGCGCCTTCCGGTGGATCACCGCGCACTTCGGCTCCGCCGCCGCGGCCGAGGGGCGCACCGCCCGCCTCGCGGCCGCCGACGCCGCTCTCGCACTCGCGCGTTTCCAGGCGCGGAGGGCCTTCGCGACAACCTCGGAGCATCGTGGCCGTGCAGTTCGGAGCATCGTTGCCGTGCCAAGGTAGCGCATGATTGCGAGAATTCCCCCGCATGACTTGCTGCACGACTGCCCGTGTGCACGCATGCGTGTTTTTGCGCCTCCGCAGCCGCCGAGGCTCGAGACTGGCAGGGACATTTTGTCCCATGAGCTAGAGTCAGGCAGTATTGTAGAAATCGCGCATCCACGTCGTGGTCCTTGTCGTCGTCGCTCTCGTCGCCGTCGTCGTCGACGTCTTCGTTTTCGTCGTCGTCTTCGTCTTCCTCGTCGTCGTTCATCTCCACAGGCACCCAGAGCGCCCCGGATCGGCGGCAGCACTGGCCCGATGCCACTACAATCGCGCATCCACAGCTTGAGAATTCCCCCGCATGATCTGCTGCACGACTGCCCGTGTGCACGCATGCGTGTGTTTGCGCTTCCGCAGCCGCCGAGGCTCGAGACTGGTAGGGACATTTTTGTCCCATGAGCTAGAGTCAGGCAGTACTGTAAAAATCGCGCATCCACGTCGTGGTCCTTGTCGTCGTCGCTCTCGTCGTCGTCGTCGACGTATATTCGTTTTCGCCGTCGTTTTTTCGTCTTCCTCGTCGTCGCTCATTTCCACAGGCACCCGGAGCGCCCCGGATCGGCGGCACTGGCCCGAGGCCACTGCAGTCGCGCATCCACGGCTTGAGAGCTCTTTTGGTCTCACCGCACCGGCCTGCGCATCCACGGCTTGAGAGCTCCACGGCTTGCGAGCTCTCAGGCCGCGGATGCGCATCCACGGCTTGAGAGTATGGTAGAAATCGCGCATCCACGGCTCGAGAGCTCTCTTGGTCTCACCGCACCGGCCTGCGCTCCCACGGCGCGCGGCCCCGGCGCGGGGCGCGCTCGGCGGCCGCCCGCGCGCGGCCAGTCGGGCCGCGCGGGGGGCCGGAGCTCGGCGGAGGGTGCGGGCCGGGCAGGCCCCGGCCTCTCGAGGGAGCCCTATACCCCTTTGAGCCAGAAGGGCTACGGGTCCTGGCGCCTCAACTTTTTCGAGCCGGGCGAGTGTGATAAAAAAGTGCGATGATCAGTTTATTGTTATATATATATACATATATATATATATATAGATATACATTTTTATATATAGATACATTTTGTTATCACGCTTGTTTTTTGTATCACACGTTTTTTATCACCTGCTCTCGGGCCCCGGGGCCCTCACGCATCGATCCGGCTCGATCGGGTCCAGGGCTCTGGCCGTGACCCTTCGCGAGGTCGTAATCTTTGGTCTGCAGCGTCGGCGGGAGGGACCTCTCGCTCGGGGCCCGGGGGTCGCGGCCTGCAGGAGCAGGAGCAGGCGGGGCAGGAGGGGGAGGCCTGGCGTAGGCAGTCCACTCGGGCAGGAGGGCCAGGGATCCACGAGGGGGGGGGGGGGGACCTCGACGAGGCCCCGAGAACATCAAGAACCATCCCGTCGTCCTCGCCCTCCTCTTCATCCTCTTTCTTACTCCCTCCGTCGTCGTCGTCGTCGTCGTCGTCGTCGTCGTCGTCGTCGTCCTCTTCCTCCTTCTCCCTCATTCTCTGGGGTCGGCGGCATGGCGCAGGCCATTTGCTCACACGACGGGGTGCGCTCCGGCGGGGGGGGGCGAGGGCCCCGACCTCCGACGGTGGGGCCTTTCCAACCGCGACGCTGCCTCCTCGGCTTCGGCCCCCCTGAGAGGCCGGCTCTGGACCCCGGGGCCACAGAACATTATAGATCCGCGACGAAAAGCTACCCCCGGGGACGAAGTCGGGACCCCTGCTTGGACGCCCGAGATGGGTACGGATGGCACGGGTGCGATGCCCGACAGCTGTGTGGTCCCGAACTGGCAGCGGCCGCTGTTGGGCAGCTGGCTTCTTTTTTCTCAAAGGGGCAACTTCCACGGGAACGCCGGCAACGAGCACTGTTCCAATGTGCAAGAACTGCTATCGGTCTTCGTGCCCATTCTTTTCGTACACGTTTCGATCGCACTGACAGCTGGGGCCCGGGGAGCACACGCGGACAACGTAGGCAGCAGGACCCCCGAGGCTGGGGCTGCGCAGGAGTGCGGCATGTCGGGCAGCTCCTGCAAACGTCTGAGTTTTCGGAGGAGGAGGAGAAAAAGGAGAAGGAGGAGGGGGATGAGGGTGAGAAGCAAGCGCAGGAGAAGGAGGAAGATGCCGGTCGGTCGTTCTCATCCCGAATTGTTTCTTCAAGGAAGGCCTGGAGCCCAGAGGCCCAGCAAGGGCCCCCAAAGGCCGAGAACCGCCAAAAACAGTCCGTCGTGATTTTGTCACGACGCGAGGGTGTCAGGGTTCACCCGTGCAGTGTCAAGGGGGTCACCACTAGGGGGTCGCCACATCCTCAAGGTGAGACTCCAAGAGAAGCTCAAACATGTCGAGGAGATTCCCGATCCTCAGTCCTCTCCTCCGCGCTCTTTGATTCTCAGCAGGTGGTGACATAAGTCGACCTCACGAGACGCATTGGGGTGCGTTCAGAACAAACATTCGAGGCGGATTCAGAAGTGCCGACAAGCCCCTAGAGGCGCAGAAACGGCGAAGCACGTGCAGAAACCTTCGCGCACCTGAAAGTTCGAAGGGTGCCCCTCCCTCCCTCCATGCCAGTTCCTGGGAAGTAACTCCTCACTGTCATACCCCCAAGCGTGTCGGCAGGGCGGGCTGGGCTTTTCGCCTGAGACGTCCTCACCACTTATGATCCTGAAGCTTGAGATTCGGATCATCTTCAACGGGCAGTTTACAAAATGCAGCTTACATTCTCCGA